CGTATATTCGGACACTGCAAGCTTGGACCTCCCGGACCAAAACATCAGTTTCCTCCTGAGAGAAGTTTGGCCGTCTGACGCTGCTGCTCTCTTCCGCCATGGCGAATTGAGTAAACTCTCATTACGCCTTCGTGTGGCGCATTTAAAGGCGAGGAGAGGGGCTCATTTGATTGGTGTGATGTGTGTAAAACCCACTCCACGCCTTCTCTCCTCCCTCTTTCTGACTTGCGCAGGTAGGAGGGACAGAGGTGGGAAAGAGGAGTAGCTGCGCCAGGCGCACAGTGTGCCAAACTTGCAAAATCCTCCTGGCCACACCCAGTTGGCTAAGCGCAGGTGTGCTGCGCCTCCGCCTCGCCCGGTCTGAGAAACTAGAGCCCAGTGTCATTATGTTACGCTGAGGAGCTGCTGTGACGTCAAGTGCAACACTAGAGGTAAAATTTGGGATACCGGTCTGGTCCACTTTTTGGTTTAATATGAAACCAGTTTGAAAATTTTAACACTGGCCCAACACTAGCATGTAGGTGCGCTTTTTTAAACTTTGAAGTAAGATCGTTTCCTCCCACCTTAAGTATTTTTTGTGAGCTTGGTCAATTGTCTGTTGGCTCTTTATGCTAATTATGTTATCTTACTCTCTGCAAGTTGAATAAGAGTAAGCAGGGTTTAGTTATTGCAATGTAACTGTTCAAGAGGAATAATAAGTAATTCAAATTCATTATAAATCAAGTGTGCACATGTTTTTCTCTCCTCTGAGATTAGCCAGACTTCAAAGTGCTGCTGCATATGTGAGGACCAAATATGTGATCATGTTTTAGAACAAACCCAAACTTGGCGATTTTTGAGAAAATATTTGTTTCATATGTTTTCTATTGATGTCAAACAGGAAAGAGGATTAGCCCATTCCCAAACTAAATGTGCATAAAACTCACACATGGCCTTTGTGAAACTGCTCCCTGGTTAGTAAATATCAAGCTCTGATCTGTGCACAGCCATGTTATGACAGTACACAAATAACAAATAATGGCTAATAATGGCAAGTACATGGAGCCCATGATTGTGCCAGGAATGGTTGCTATGAGATTTGCGCTGCAGCTGCAGTGTGTTCCCTGCCCTCTCTGAATCACATCCTATAATGCCTTTGTTTTGACTTGTTCAACCCACAGTTGGGGACTCGTCATAAAGGGATCATCCAGCTGGTCATCGGCATTCACAGTCTCATGTCTTTGATTTGGCTTTATTTTTGAACTTTGCCACCAGCACTCTTCATACCACCCACACACACATGGGAATTGGTGTATTGGCACCTTATGTTGAAAGGCAAAGTATGAGTGTATCAGCTGAACAGAAATAAGCTACTGTCAGTACACACATCTGAGGAGATACAGTGATGGATGTATGACATTATGTTTTCCTCACACTGGACCTCATGAAAGGACATTTTTGTATCCTTATCCTTTCTCTATAGGATCTTCTTGAGTTACAAGTCAAACTCAACAAAATCTCCTCTGGAAATTTCATCTTAATGAATGCCACCTGTTCTTGATAGTCAATCATTTCCATAATCAGCAGCCCCACATTGATATTTAAGGCTAACTGTGGCATTCCATTGGCAAGTTTCATTCACAAAGATGTCATCTGAGAGTAATAACAGCTTCACACTGCAGAGTTACATCTCCTGTTGTTGGAAATCAACAATCACAAACAAATTTAGCCATATTAGGAGACCTGAAACAATTAGAAAATGTCAATACAACTGAGAATCACCGTGCTTAGAGACATCTTTCCAAAGCAAAGTGGTGCATGGCATGATTTTCTCTCCAGCTACCGAACTGTTTAAGTTACCATGACAGCACACATATAGTAAATGCTGGTTTGGACATACACTAACCTTTCTGTTCTCACCCTCATTTCTCTTTCCCTCTCATTTGTTAAAGGTCAGAGTGTCCACAGGGTTCAGGCCACTAATTGGCACCAGGAAGAAAGCGTAATTAATTATGGATATATAGTACTTTTTTATATATACATTTCTCTATATATAATGTGAGTGTGAGCTAGAAGATGAAGATGGCAGAGGAGTAACTGAATAACACAGAGACATTTTGTCTAGCTTTATTTCAATCTCACCACCTGCTAAATGTCATTGGTTTCCCTGTCAGTCTTCAGGTCACAGTGCGATCGCCTGCTGCTGTGTCTGTGGCACACACACACACACACACACATGCACAGCCAGACTATGACTATGTGACTATGTTTACACGTGCACTACTCTTTCACTATTATTCCAAATATGACAATTTTCTGAATTTGGTGTGGTCATCAGAATTTATCATCTTCTGATTAAGACGTGGGATATGATGATATTATTCAAGTTTTAATAGCATTATTTGGGCATGAATGCAGCACATTCAGAATGGTTGGGGACTTTAACACGGGTTACAACACGTGTTCTTGCCTGATTACAGTCAGCTCTGTGCATTATCATCTATACGTTCTGGTCGGAAGGAGAAACACACCTACTTTTAAACATTAAGAAAGACTTGGATATGAATAGGTTTTTGTATATCTGCAAATATTGTAATGCAGACATTTTCAAAAATGTGTTTCAAGGAATGAAAGTGGGAGGCTGTGGTTGCATGGTCTAGCAAGTCTGCCACCGGTAGAAATATTTGAAAAATCCTTTTTTAATCCAAAGAAGCAAAATGAGAGGCAGCTTCAGCCGTTCCCCTTTTCCATATTCTGACGTGATAATCGACATGTTAGGGCACGTTAATCAGAGTATGCATGGCTGCATGTAAACAGGAGTATTAGTGGAATATTTATTTGCATTAGCTATGCAAACAGCTTTGTAGGAATGTTGATTTCTTCAGGATAAGGACAAAACCGGAATATTTTATGCATGTAAACGTATTAATTGCTGTCAACATAACGGGATTCTGATTGCATTTATTTATACTTGACAGGGTTATTTTTTAGTTAGTCAGAAACAAACAGACTTTAACTTGTAATTTTCACCTATACACCACAGATTTAGTTTTTTTTTTAACAAAAATGTCTTTGAAGTTGCAGTTTTTTTTAAATGTGAAGGACTTTTAAAGGGTTAAGTTCAGTTGAGTTTCCTTGCAAACTCAAAATTGTGAATTTGTAACTAAATAAGTTGCTAAAATGGAATTAATTTCCTGTCTTGGTGTTTGTGCTATTCATTGGGTGGTTGTATTTAATGAAAATAAGTTACATAAAGGCATTCCTTTATCCCAGGTGTATTAATACTCCATTAGTGTTCAGCATAAATAGTTTCCATTTGATAATATGTTTGATTAAATAAAGTGATGCTGCTCTGCTGAATTTGCATATCAAGTATTTAAAATCTTATGTGGCATAAAAATATGGATTGTATACATTTGTTCACATTTTGCCACAGCCTGTGATGTCTTGAGGTCATTTTAATTATGATGAAGATCTTCACGATTCATTTGCATTCAAAAGAAACACTCCCACCATCCAGATGTCTGGATTTTTATGTGTTAGGTACTGTTTTTTTTTGTTTTTTTTACCTATTTTAGGTCACATTTTCTGTAGCCTTTAATCTGAGAGAGTAATAGAAGCAAAAGAAAAACCTTGTGAATCGAAGGAAGCCAGTCCAAGGCCGTGTTTAGACTGACTATAGCTCGGCATGAAAGAATGCAGCCCTCTCAATCAATAAAATGAGGCCAGTCTGGCAGCGTAGCAGGGGTGCCAACACAGAGGACTCCGGAAACAACTGCAGGGTTGTCTGGCATAAAGGTTGAACCTGGGCTGTGCTAGACATTCACACACAGTGTCTGCAAGTGCACATTCCTCATGGATTACTCAGTGGTGTGAGCACTGTATTTCTACAGTTTACCTTGAGATCATTGTGCTGAAAGATCATGATTGCCAGCACGATAACTTGTAAAATCCTGTCTCAGTATTATAAAGTGCTGTGCAGTATTTTGGCATTGATAAACCTTTAAATTCACGGATCTTTGTCTAAAAATGAATGTCGGGTATTTCATTGTCTCAACAGTACCTCGCAGCCCTTTGCCTCGTTTAACGCAGGGCTGTTTTGGGTGTGAACGCCTGCTTCTTTATTAATCAGTACAACCACCGGAAAGAATATGACATGTAATTGTTGAGCACATAAACAGGCTGTTATTTTCCCCCTCAGTGAAGATTGTCATTCTGGGACTTAATTTATACTCCAATTCCTCATCTAATCCTGTGTTGTCTTTACTTCCAGGTTTGGCGCCGCCAAGGGACCTTCATCCTCTCCAAAGCTACCAGGAAGCTGCAAAGGACACAGCTCACAAGGCCCCGTGGCTGACAGCAAGTCATAGAAAGATGCTCCGGGATTTGGAGTTCTTGTTTAATTAACGGGGGGGGGGAATCTTTCTAAAAATGCAAGGAAGTCTTGCAGTCATTACACTCCCATAGAGTTTCCATTTAAAGACTTTGGTTCACTTATTAAAGTCTTTTTTTCCACCATAGGCTCTATCACTAGGGTGCAAATAGAACTGCAGAGCTGCAGCTGAGGGGGACTGGTAGCCCTGAATAATTTCCTTTTGTTTGAAGGTATAAACTTCTCTGCTGCAAAGGCTTTCTCTTGGATTATCAGGGCACAAGTGAAGGTCAGTGTTCTTTAACTCTCTCTTCTCGGGTCTTTGATCCAGTGCCATTTCCCCACTCGTTGGTTTTTCTCTTTTTCAACTCCGCCACTCTTGACTTTGAGGTTTTTGTGGGATTAAGTATTAAGCCCTACGACACCCTCTTCAAGCATTTTTTTCCCCAGGAATATACTCAAGCCAAAACTTTAACCAAAATAACCTCCCTGCATGATGCAGTGAAGGAGAGAAGAGGGCCGGAGAGAAAGGGATAGAGGGGATTGAAGGGCAGATGGCCTCGCTGCTCGAAAACACCAAACAGTCGGATGAATAAAACATTTGAATAGAGAGGGAGTCGTGACATCTGGCTGAGGAGTGAGTTAGACACTCTCCTCATTCCCTCTCTCTTTCTTTTTCCCCATTCTCTCCATTCTTTCATTCACTGGCATCCCTGTCCTCGTCATCCCCCCTCCTTCTACCCATCTTTCACTTTCTCTTGTCTCCTTTCCCCTGTGGACTCAGGAGTTCAGGTGGTTACTCAAACAGACAGAAACAAGCCTGTGCCTCCGCTTGTTTCTCAGCTTTGTCTTACCGCTGCAAGCCCCCGTACTGCACCCTCTCCCTCTATCCTCTTCCTCCTCCCCGGCAAGGTGTGTGATGGTGTGTCCCCTCCTCTGTGTCCTGGAGACATGCCTGTGCAGGAGATGGCGGTGAGTCCTGTCAAGTCCCTGTACTGGGAGCAGTTCCCCCCAATGTCACAGCGCCGCGTCTACTGCACCCCCGTCTACCACGAAGGCCTGCTCTACGTGCTGGGGGGCTGCAGCGAGACGGGCATGCCCCTGGACAGCGTTGAGGTCCTGGATGTAGAGAGCCAGACATGGACTCAGCTCCCGCCGCTGCCCACTGCGCGGGCCGGGGCCTCGGCTGTAGCGCTGGGGGGCCAGGTCATGGTGCTCGGGGGCATGAACCAGCAGCAGACCCCGCTGGCCTCCGTGGAGATGTACCACCCGGATGAGGGCAAATGGGAGACGAGGGCGAGCCTGGGTCAGCCATCCATGGGAGTCACCACTGTGGAGAAAGGTAAAAAAGTGGAATGAATGTGAGAGATGCTGCTTCTCTGAATATGAATGTGATATGGGTATGATGACTCATCAAATTGCACTGCATATAAACAGTGCAAGCTGCTGGTTATCATCCATGATTGTTTTTGTACAAGAACATGTGACAGTGAGTGTTCTTGCAGAATTTTCTTGGTCATCTAACACCTCTCCTATCATTTCTGACAAGTCTTTCAATGTGTTGTCTAATGGGTTTTCGAGGTTAGAAGTTTATGCTCGTTCCTAACTGTTAAGGACTTAAATATCTGTGCAAGTTGGTGGAATCAGTCTTTATGTGTGGTTTATTTGGTCTTTGTAAGTTTTAGCTTGTCGTCAGGTTTGTCTCAGGCTTAAACAGCTGCAGATGTAGCAGCGCACACTGTAAAGATTTTCCGACTTGGAACTTTGAACCCAGATTCGCTGACCTCTGTGTCTGTTGTTATTCTTGCATTAAAAGAATGACTTTGGAAAAAGACAACAATTGACCATTTTCTAAACCCCTCCCCTAAACAGCAACGTCCAATCATAGCTTAGCAGTTGTGACCAGACCAGACCAGTTTTGGATTTCTTCTCATGCCGATCGAAACGATGAACATGGAGCATGGCACACTGAGAGTTTGCAGGATGTGGTCTGCTCTGACATAAGCCACTAAAATTAGCATGCTTGGCTAACTGAGGAACCTAAGTTACCACCACTCCCAAGGCCAGGAGTTATTATATCATAAGCTACCAACATTATTACGTGGGGTTACAGGTTACATTAAAAAAAGCCCGATTCAGGACCAGTGCTGGATGTTACAGTATCAGACTTTAAAGTCTAGCTTACAGCTATGATCTGCTCTTATTTGGATTTGAGTAAAGTTTATTCAAGAGGATTTTTGCATACTCGTTCTGTCCTCAATCTCAAATCCTTTTGTCATGTAAATCATAAACTTATCCTCTGGTTTGGTTGCAACTTTTAAGTCTGTGCTTACATTTTTTCCCTATCATACAGTAATAGTTATTTAGTAGCTACTAGGGCTAACAATGCTGCTCCTTGATTTCCATGCCTTCTATGTAGATTATCCAGTGGTGATGAAGCTAACTTTTTAGCTTGGGACATGTAGCTTTAGCAGGTGTCTAGCAGTGTTGTGCAGGCAGAAGGTGAGGTGACTACAGACGTTCTCACTCTCTGTATTGGACATGTGAATAAGCTCTTATTGCATTCAAATAAATTTCAAGGATTTTTCTATTGAGTCTAATGCATTGAAGTTGTAAATTGCTTCCAATTTCCCAAATGAATGCCTGATGATGTCACCAACATATATGCCGTTATCTGGTGAATTCTGGTGACTTTTGGAGCTAATGCAAGCTACTTTAATGGGAAGAGTAGGCAACACTGTACAGTGGTTATACTGCTGATAATTAGACAGCGTCATCGCAGTAGCACAGCGCCCACCATCTGATTCCCTCTTGGTTAACGCTGGTTAGCTCTGTCAGCACTGTTGTCATTGTTCAGCGTTGTTTATAGAGTTAGAACTGTTAGCTACTAGCCCTCAGCTCAGCCACCTTTATGTTGAGAAACGTGCCGACAAGTATGCGCTGTGAATTTCGCATAGAGCTCCTTTTAGTCTTGTTGTTGTCTGCGTCTGTCTTAAATCAAGATTACTATGGCAAGAAGAGAGGAAAAGTTAGTTGTGTACATTTCTAAATTCCTGGAATTAACTGACCTCTCCAGGGGCTTGAAGTATCAAATTTTAATCCACTGCTTTGAGGAAAGGTAGTGCTTTACATTACATGTTTAATCCTTTTCTTAACTTCAGCCTAAATAACCAATTTTCCTTGGATGACTTGTAGACTGAGTCAAGAGGTGTGCTGAAGTGTTCCTTGGAGATATTTGTTATCCACATACATATTAGATGTATCCAATCTTAGTTTGACAGGTTTACTTGATTGCAGTGCAATGTTCATTCGATTACTGCTCTGATATTCTAAATGTGCCACTGCGGGACTGTGCCTTCACCCCATCAATTAGCCTTCTGCCAAAACTTCATCCAGGCTCATTATGAACTGATTATGCAGCTACTTTGACACATTAGACTTTGAAACAACAACAGCAACAACAAACCCATTCCTCTGAAGTGGTGAAGTTAACTAATGAGCTGTTCATTTTGGGACAAGCCCCTCCAAGCCTTTCAGTGACTGTGAAGCTGATAAAGTGGCTTTGGAGTGGAAGCTGTTCATTTGTGACTAGAGCTGAGGGGTGCTGAGATCGATGGCTACTCACACAAATCATGCAGCTGGTGCTTAACTCGGGCTCAGGTTTAGTAAATAGTGCAGTGGACTAGTCCCAAGTTTACGGGGATGTGATGAGGCGTCAATAGGTTGTATGTGTGTGTTTGTACAAGTCTCTTGTTATATCTCTTGTCTGTGTCCATGCTAGCTCGTGTGCTTTAGCTGAATGTCAAACATGTCTCGTGTGGAAGAGCCAGTTGTCACGCAGTCCACCTCCACTGAATAAACATACTGGACTTAATACTCATTCCCCAGGCGTGTGCAGGCTGTCTGAGGTTGTATATGTTGGCACAGAAGAAGGGAGAGTCGTGAGAAAGCGAGGACGAGAGAAGAGTGGGAGGAAGGAAACAAGAAAATGAAGTGATCACAGGTCATTAGAGGGGAAAAGATATACCGCATATATGTTGCCAAAAAGTCCAGAGAGAGTTTAAATATTACATTGATAAAAGACCAAGAGCTGACAATAAACAGAGAGAGAACACAAGTTCTTCACTACAGCTTCCTGTGTTTACATCTCAGGCTGCATGCTGCTGAGAGCTGACTTAATAAACGGAGGACTGAACATGACCTTTCAAGGTAATAGAGACAAAGTGAGGGAATAGTTCTGTAATATGCATTTTTCCTCCATATGGTGATTTAATACACAATGTCACCCCTCCCCACGCAGAAGACAGGTGCTGTTGAGTGCAATGCAGTGCAAACAGTTCATGCATTAATGGAATGTTGTAGTCAGTGCGTATTCAATCTGGAAATCCATCAGTAAAAAAAAAAAAAACAACTTTTTTTTTTCCTTTACCTCTGGAGGCACAGCCCTGAGTTTTTCGACTAACAGAAGTGCAGGGGCCTCGGCGATCACTCACGCCCTTCACTTCCAGCAGTGCCCCCAGGGAATCGCCGTGTTGTTTACAAATACTTAGGGTAGAAAACCAGCAGAGTTTAGCTATATATCACATTTTTCACGTCACTATATCACCGTGTAGACTACTCTGAAGTTTGTTAAGTCTATAAACACAATGATTGAACAAACATTACTATTTCTGTGTGTTTTGTAATTAACATGGTTATCGTAGATTAGCTGGGCTAACCGTTAACTGTTAACGTTAGCCGTTAGCGGTGTCTGTAATAAACATAGACTGTATAAAAATAAGGTAATAACTCAATAAACGGTCCGTGAATAAAATATTTTTTCCAGTGGATATCTTAGTTACAACATGATTGAGCTAGCAAAGCAGTTTTGTGTTGCTATGTGTGGTATTTATTCAGTTTTGGGAAATCACAATGTCTAGAAAGCAGCAGTGGCTGCAGCTGACAGGGACAGTTAGCAAAGCTAACATCAGGACGTCATCTGTTAAAAGCCTTCCGTTGTTGGATACGACACGAAACTACTCCAGTTAGCTCAATCATGTTGTAACTAAGACATCCACTGGAAAAAAAAATTTTTTTCACGTTGACGAGACAGCGTTTTGGGTGGAGCAGTCGCTATGGACACAGAGCTTGCTGTTTCTGTAGGTACACATTTCCTGGGGACACCTGCATGTCTTGGCCACGCCCCCTCCATTGTGATTGGCTAAAGCGCCGCATCGTTCAAACTCAAAGCCCCGCCCTCCCCCCCTCTCCAGTCGTCTTTCACACAGGGCTGCTGACAGATTCTACAATGTAAATTGCAGAATCTGTCTTGAGAGATTAGTGCGTATTAAGCATTACGTGTTGGATTAAAGGGGTAAAATTAGTCAATATATGAAACTACAAATCTGTAAAACTGAAATGCAGATAGACATTTCAATTGATTTGCATTGACTAAACCCTCCTGCTGAATAACCATTGTCCAGTCACAGCTTAGCAGCTGTAACTATGTATGTATCTGCTGGAACATAACCTGCAAATGTTTGCATGTCCAGCTTACTTACCCCTGACAGTGATGGAAAGCCAGGTTCAGGGCTAAAACGTCGACTGCATGGGAGCTTTCCCAGATGCTATGATTTTATATCACAGTTGAGGATAACTTTAGTGGCTCGTCCTGTTTTGAATTTGGGGAAACTCGTTACCAGTGATAGCTTTAATGTTTCCCAAATGCATCAGTTACTTTCAACCTCAAAGCACGTTCTCTTTAAAGTCAGTACAAGTGAAATATGAACTATAAATCATAAATTTAACCTGTGTTGCTTATTCAAATGTTACCAGCATCTTACATATAAACAGGGTTACATTTTTTTCCTGTTATACATAACTGTAACAAGCCATCTGTCTACCCCACAATACAAGAGCAATGCTGCTCTTTTTATTTCAGTGTATTCTACATGATGATAAACTGGTGCGTATGCTGACTTTGTGCTGGGGACATCTTTAGTCTCAGTCTTTTACCACAGTATCATGGATGTAGCCTAAATACCTCACAATAAGATTCAGATTTAAAGGGCCATGATTTGATTATAAAACCATTATTTGTGTATCTTGATGCATTACATTTTTTGATTTCTATAAATGATTTTTTTTTCTTTTTGCTGTGTGACTGCTTGCTTTTTTAAAATGTAGCGTATTTGCGTATTTTTAAACACCACCTGCTGATTGGACTGCATATGTCTGCACTTGCTCATGCTTACCCATTGTAAGATATTTATGCTGGCGTAGTGTCCACTGTTTGCATACTGTGATGTTTCAGTGGAATTAGTATGCTATTCATGCACTGTTGGTTTCACACTAAGGCTTCAG